GGTATGGTTACTCCTGGAATTGACTCATGCATAAATAGCAGTTCGGTTCAAGTTGTCCTCCACATATCATAGATCAGAGTTGAGAAAAGGGATCAGATCTTTTGATAAAGAAAGTAATGAACAGTTTATTTGGTGGAAATTAGACAAAGATTTTTTTCACATGAAACGAGATTTGTTTATATGTAGTGTTTATATTCCTCCGCACAACTCGCCTAGAGAACGTCGTCTAGACCGCGACCATTTTCAATCTCTTCAGGAAAATATTTACAAATTTTCAAAATTAGGGAGCATATATTATGTGGCGATTTCAATGCTAGAATTGGTGATTTAGATGATTGTATAAAAAACACGTCAGTTTTAGAAGATTTTTCCCATCTACCTGTCCTCCTAACAGTTCAATTGAAATTGAATCACGCAACTCCAAAGACAATCACTGTAATTCATATGGGAAACTATTGGCAGAGTTGTGCTGCGGGAATGATTTAATTCTGCTAAATGGTAGAACGAAGGGTGACTATATCGGTCAATTTACCTGTCAAACATATAATGGAGCTAGTGTGGTTGATTATACTATTGTTTCTTCAGAGGTCATGAGCAGGGCCGTCGCGAGCGGGGGGGTGTGGGGGGGTGCTTCACCCCCCCAATAATTTTCGAAAGTCGGCCCCAGTCGGCAAATTGCTTCGTTACTGTTCGGCAAATTGCGAAATCGGCATTCAGCACATTGTAAAAGTTAAGAACGAAGGCGATAAATAAAGCGATAAATTTTGGATTTAAAATAATGGTTTGTGTGGCTTTATACCATTTAAATGTATTTCTATTTTCTAGTAATACTATGAGTCTTTTATTTGTCGAAAATCGACGGGAGGCTGAAATGTGAAACCCACGTTTCCGGGCATGTTCTTCGCTCGACTGCTTTTACAGCGAAGGCTCTTTATCAATTATGCGCGGTTCAAAACCAAAAAGAAAGAGAATAAAACTTTAGTATTGAATGTAATTCGATTTTTGACGACTATAGAAACTTTATTATTTATTTCACGAGGGAAAACGTATTAACCATAAAAGTTATCTAACATACGGCCCGACGATTACCGTAAGAGGCACGAGCAAACTTGCCATAAGGGAAACCGAGTGCGAGTAGCACATAAAGACGTACCAGCTAATCCGTTTGAGACTGCAAAGCGCAGTCAAAGTCAAAGAGAATATTTTGAGTCGTCAGAGGCGCAAGATTCTCAAGAAGACTCCACAGGCACATGAGAAGAAGACCAAGAAAAAGACGAGCCATGCCACCGATAAGAACGGACTTGTCTTCTTTAGTTCTTTAGCGAAATTACTGTAACTCTGATCAGCCTAAGTTTTGAAAGACATACCGCATACAGCGATCGGTATCATCGATCGGTTGCATATGATCATATCCGTTTTACTCGCTTTCTGACGCATAAAATTTAAACGCTTGGAAAATCGGGTCGTACAAAAGCCCAGTTAACACTATCCGGCACTAACAGTTTTAGGACTGCTCAAAATACAAAAAATATTATAAATTGTCTATTCGACGCCTGGGGATAAAAAAGGTCAAATTCATCAAATTGCCATGAAGACATTGAAACAAAATATCAATGCAATCACATGCAGATACCTGGATACCCTGGTTCCAGAGGTTTATTCTTATTATTTTCATTGTGAAGGGGAGAGGAAAAATAAACCTCTGGTTGAAAGCGGCAATTGATTCATTAAGCTGCGCCAAGTTTAGGGTCAGATCCTGACTCTGTCTTCTGACTATCCGATTGTATTAAAGTTCTCTGATTGGTTCAAATAGAACATCTATAACCAATCAGAGAGCTTTAATACGATCATCCAATCAGGAGACAGAGTCAGGATCTGACCCTAATTCAAACTGATTGGCGCAGCTCAATGA